TGTGTGTGTGTGTATGTGTGTGTGTACAAGCATATTGCTACGATAGCAACCCACGGTATGGGAACCCTTTCTTGGTCTCATCCTTGATCATGCACGCTCTGCTGTGTAAAGGCATCCACCATCCATGGGTATGCCATATTCTCTTTCCTGCTGCCAACAGAGAGTCAGCAAGGAGAGAGAGAGATGGGAGGGAGCAAATGATGGTATGGCCATCATACATTGGCTATTTCGTCGATGGAGAAGGGGTGGCGCATCCCCTAAAGCGCTTTTCGCCGCTTGCACAAGTCACGGCTCATCAGAGGGTGGTATTCCACTGGCTCCCAGAAGGAGAGGTGTAGGAAGAGAGACTGAACTGATGATATACAGAGAAAGCTTATGGATAATGAACGTACCATGTATTCCTCGATGTTAATGCCAGGGGTAGAATCCGTGCCCTGCGCCATCGTTCAAGTCTTCAGGAAATCGCCAGTGGTCGCAGAGTCTGTCAGCTCAAGGGACTATCCTGCCGACCTGGTATAGGCTCGCTAAGTAGCATGCATTCCCACCAGTTAGGTGGGAGCTATCAGAGGCAATATCCAACACCTAACGTAAGCTATGGTGGGTGGAATTTCGCACACCGGCACCGCGTGTGAAGGAGGAGGTAGAGAGGGAGGAGTACAACGGAAGGAGATGTTCAAGATTGGGAGGGGAAGAATGGGATGTGGAATTGTCGAAGACAATGTTTGCGAGACCAGAACGATGAGTGGGATCGAATCGGTCGACGCCGGGTTATGAGGATCCCCATCGGTAGGTCGTGTTCTTAAGTAGAGGGTATGAGGTTCTTTTTGGATGTGGAAGGGATGCAGGTGCGGGTAGGAGGGGTGGTGGGTGGGAGGGTATGGGAGGGTCAAATGTGGGGTTATTGAGGAGGGTGTTGATGATTGTCATGCTGGTGATGCTGAGTAGGTGTGGAAGGACACTATGCGAGGTTAGCGGGTATAGGCGGGGAGGCTAGCTTAGTTCAGGGGTCTGTGTTCGTGTTCGATCGGCGGTGGAGGTGATATGGCAAATTGTAGCATGAGGAGGAATTGGCTCGTTGTGCGTGCTCAATTGTCTTTTGTCTTGATGCGTGGCTATGGTGGAGTGTGCTGCAGGATTTTTGCGAGGGGCTTCGTTTTTTTTGGTTTGTCATGCATGTGGCGGAGGGCGTTTTTTTTTGTTTGTGGTGCTTCTGCCTGTACGTGTTATGGTCAGGAATTTTGTCTTGGGGATGTTTTGTCTCTAGTGGAGGCAAAGCGAATGCATCTTTTGTCTGGTCTGTGGGTAGAGGTATGAGTGACGTGTATACGGTATATGTCTGTGTGAATAGGCACGTGTCATATCTGTAGATTTTTTTGCTGGTTTTTTTTTTTTGCGTCGTTTGAGTTAAAAAGTTGCGTGTACATGTTTGTTTTATTCGTGTCAACTCCTGAGGATGGGATGTCGCTTGGATGGCAAAGTTGTGGTGATAGCTGTTGGTGAGTTGGGGAGGCTGAGGGGGAGTCGTGTGTGCTTTATTTGTGTATCAAGGGAGTTCTTTTTTTTTGGATGGGGGGGTTGGTAATGCATGTGTAGTTAAAATTCATTTTCGGGTCAGGAAGGGGGGGATGGGGGGTGTTTTTTTTTTTTGTGTGGGCTCTACCACTTTTCTTGATACATACGTTTATATATATACATATATTGTTATCTTAATATTGCTGTTTTTTTGGGTGTATAGTCTAAGGGGGGTGGTAACTTTGTTGGATGTCTAACTGCAATTTCGTCAAAATGGACATTTTTTATTTTTCGAATGAAATTAAAACTGAGTTTTTTCAACTTTTTGGCCGAAAACGCGTCAAAATTTGTTGTTCCTAAGGTTGCACCCCCTACCTGTACATGGACCTAGCTTGAGACCAGGTACCTCCAAGCAGCCCTTCCTAGAGGTACCTGGTCTCAAGCTAGGTCCATGTACAGCCAGGGGGTTCAACATTTGTAAAACGCTGGAACCTTAGGAACAACAAATTTTGACGAGTTTTCGGCCAAAAAACTCAGTTTCAATTTCGTTCAAAAAATAAATAATGTCCATTTTGACGAAATCGTCATTGTCGGTGATGCGTTATTGTTTTCTGGGGCTGGTGGGGCTATACGGACCCCGAGATTTTTTATGTATATGTAAGTGTGTGTGCGTGTGTGTGTGTGTTTGTGTGTGTGTGTGTGTGTGTGTGTGTGTGTGTGTGTGTGTGTGTGTGTGTGTGAGAGAGAGAGAGAGAGAGA